GTGGTGTAATGTAGATGTGCAGTTAGGTTTTGGAATTTTGATTTTTCCCCGTCGGGTCAAATGGGGGGTGGAATTTGAGGTGTCTTCCCTGAACATGTCCTACATTTTACACAGTAGCCTAATCATCTTTTGGGAGATGGTTGGTGGTGTCATGTAGATGTGCAGTAAGGTTTCGTAATTTTGATTTTTCCCCGGGGGGTCAAATGGGGGTGGAAAAAATGACGTTTTTTGTGCAAGAAGTCCTGCCCTTTCTGAAGTCCTCCTTAATGTTACTCAGAAGCCTAATCATCTTTTAGGAGAGTTAAATATTTTGAAAATTATGTAAAACATCAACGTCAAGGGGTAAAAAAGCATCGCATGCTGGTTACACCTTGAATTCTTATGAGTAATTAATGTACATGTCAAATGTGAGAGTCATATCTCATCTCAATGAATAGTTATAAGCAAATGCAACATTTTTGAAAAGTAGGTTAGGCTTCAAGGTCAAGGTCACAGAGTAAAAGTCATGATTCATTTGGAAAGGTCTTATCACAGGTAATAATATAAATGCATTATAATAAGAATGCCCTAACTTTTCTCTTTCAAAATGATGAATTTATAACAATTTAATTTTTTTGCAAGTAGGTCAAAATTCTAGGTCATATGTAAAAACAAAAACCCATGCCATTCTCACAGGTAAATACTAGTACATAAGTTTAATATGAATGCCTTGTCTCTTCTCATTCAGTAGATATGACCGTGATGACCAAGGTTAAATTTATTGAGACAGATGGACAGTCTGACAGACAAATGTACATATTTCTATATGAATAGGGTAAAATTGGCCCAGTGGTTCCAGAAAATTTAAAAATGTAAAAAGTTTTCAGACAAACAGATGGACAACACGTCACTACAGACGTTATATAATAAGGAAACAAGAAAAGCTCAAATGAGTGTTTTGAAAGGCTTACAATATGATTGCAGTATTTGAAAAGCTGTTTTTTTCATGCAGAGATATGCATGACCAACATATTCATGTTTTATATTTTCTTTAATAATTTGTTTGTTTGTTATGAATACATCTTTCTCGGGAATTTTTCCCTCATATGGAGACACCACCAAATAATAATGAAGACAAGATGTGTTTGTGAAACACTGATGTCCCTGTATGGAAGCCTATGGTGAAGGTTGAAGTTTCTCAAATATATGTCAAACTCAAAGGTCAAGGTCAAAGGGTTCAAATTGTTGGTATCAGAAGAAAGTCTTGTCACAAGGAATGCACGTTTGAAATAAGTAATCCCTAGTACTTCCTGTTCAAAAGTTAATTGCCAAGGTTAATTTTTTTTAAGTGGTTCAAACTCTAGGGTCAAGGTCAAACATTTATACCTGTTGACAGTTCACAATGAATATACATATTAAGCATGAAAGCCCTAGCACCTACTGATCAAAATTTAGGCCAAGTTTAAAGTTTGGTAATTTTCTTGTAAAAATGTGTATCCTAGGTCAAGTGATCAGAGGTAAAAATTAATGGTACCCAAATAAAAGGTCTTAATTGTCACAAGAAATAAACCTATAAAATGTTGAAGCCATTTGTATAGCCCATCCCACTTAAAACTTATGGGCAAGATTATAATTTCTGCAGACAAATAGACAGACGTAATATAAACACAAGTAACAAAATATGTATAATTAGTCAAATGGAAAAAAATATACTATTTAATTGGAATCACAAAATAGATTGTTATTTCAGGGACAAGGAGTGAGTAGGGAGATTGGACCCCCCCCCCCTGGAATTTGCTTTGTTATTTAAACAAGACTATATACTGAGGCAAATAAAAAATGACTTTGGACATCCTCCCCCTAACTTAGAAAACATTGCCCCCACTATCATTGTTTTTATTTTGTTTATTTGTTTTCAGTTTTTTTTTTCTCCTGCTTGTCAGGAAATTCTGGGCTGGAATTTTTTGACTGAGATGTGAACCCCCCTCCCTACTCCCGAAAAAAATTCTGGATCCACACCAGTATTGGCAGTATCTGAATGTCACATCGACAACGGGAGATAACTTCACAATATGAAATTCGTCTAGTGTGGCATGCGATGATCTTTGACCCTTTTTGAACTTTAACCTAATCGTTTGGATTTATTTTACCCCCCACTATTCTTAAACTTGTACTTACCGACCTCCATAGGTCTTGTCAACTTCATGAAGTATAATCCAATTGTAACACAAAATGAATTAATCCAATGCACACCAGACTGCAGCATGTGCTAATGCTATTCCGGGTGTTGCTAAAACGCGGAACGGAAAACGGAACGGAAAGCGTAACAGTACGGAAAACGGAAAATTTTTTGTCAAACAAATAACACAGATTCAATATAAATCAGATAAAAGAGGAATATTCTTGTTGTAAAAGTCATTTCTAATAAAAATTAATTGTAAAATATTATATATTCATGAGTCATACACACCCTCCGTGGAAAAAATGCTACTGAAAGAAATCCCCCCAAACGCACACACGAAATAGGATTTACCTGTTTGGGCAAAGGACATATTCCCCTTTTTTTTTTGCTTGTCAAATTTGTTGTATGTTGGAAAAAAAATTTCTGACCCCTACCCCTTTTTTTAGTTTGTTTCCAATATCAGTGTCTGAAAAAGACGAAAATAACTAGCTATGCCATTCAGAGTATGCACGCAGTGTCGAATTCGCGAGTCTTGAAAGGGAGTTGGCAGTTTCGGGTCTGCGTAGGGGCCCACAGCCACATTAAAAATTGATTTATTAAAGCTTATGTACATTTTGGACACAAGGGGGGGGGGCAGACCTATTACAACTTCTAAGACATTTCCGATGAGAGGGAAAACAAACTCATTATTACAGGGTCATTCATATACGCCCCCCCCCCCAAACATGCACACATACGTGCCGCAAACAAACAAAATTTAACTTCAATGAATGCAAAGGTTCTGCAATCTGCATTATATCTACCACAACTAAGTCTATCCAAAAAAAGGACTATATTTTTGAATAAAATTTTAACAACCAGTGTATACATATAAGAGATGTTTATTCGAGCTTGCCGTAAAGGTTTGCCCTAAACGTTATCTCAATAATTTTTTTGTACAATTTTTTCTCTTTCCATGGTTAATTTAGATATCAAATATTTGCCCCCCCTAGTCATAACCTTTTTAAGTACTACGGAAATGTTCGTTCAAGTTCACATTCTCACCCTTTTTGTGAATATAATAAATGTAGCAAGTTAGTGCTCAACAAATAGTACTGAAGATGTTGGGAGTTGGAACTTATCCCCCTCCCGAATTAAACAATTGTTTTCTTTTTGTGTTTAATCTCCCCTCCCGAATCAAACAATTGTCTTCTTTTTGTGTTTTTTGCTTGTCAAATACTTTTCAAGTTCGTTTACCACCCCACCTTTTCAAATTTGATTCTATGTGACTGCTATATGTTAGCGACTTTTGCAAATAAGAGACTGAGCAGGACAAAATCAACTTGTATTTAATAGTGGGGGATTGAATGTGTACAATATATATCGTTTATGATAAAATTTGTGTATTTCAAGTGATTTAATCCAAAATAATATATTCCGTTTTCCGTTCCGCTTTCCGTTCCGTTTTCCGTTCCGCGTTTTAGCAACACCCCTTGCCATTCCATTCGGCAAACCTTCGTGCCGTCGATTCCGTCACCTTATCAGATGAAGTGGGAATCGGCCGAGGTGTGCAGAATAGAGTTTAATCTAAAAATATGATAATGGGTTACGCAACGTGATGTGATGTAGAAATTTACATGTTAACATGTATAGTACAAGAACAAATTTTAAATTAATTCATAACAAACGATGTTTTAACAAAACTATTCCATCTAGCCTATTCCAAAAAGTATGTGCAGTGTGATTGTGGTGTCGAGGGGGGGGGGAGGGGGGTGGGGATTAGTAAATTTAAAAAGGTCCTATTATGAGCAAAACATTTATCAAAATCTAATTTACATCATTAATAGATTTCAAACTGGTATATAATGAATTAAGCATGTAAAATAAATATAAGAGGTCCTGAGTTATAGGTCACAGGGAGAATTTCATACTCAATTTGATGAATACATGTAAATTATATAGAATTTTTTTGACTTTTTCCTTGGAAAGCCGCCCAATATGTAGGAGCGTGTATTTGGAGGCAAACACCTTAGTGCGGGTATTACTGTCTCATGACAGCATCTAGTTTGCTTTATTTTTCTCAATATGGACAATTTTGAGAAATAGAAAAGATAAATGATTATCAATGTGAACTTGTTTTCTTATGGATACCATGCATTTCATACAAAAAGTGTTACATGCAAATCTCGGGAACTCTCAAAATAAAACAACAATCATCTTTAGATGGAAGATAAGAAATTGATGGTCTAGAGCCTAACAAACTATACTGCAAATACAGAGAATGCTTTAAAATTAAGAGTTTTTATTTTAAAAAATCAATCAAACGTTAAGATACTTAAAATAGGGTGTGAAAATACTGTAGAAGCACAAATTTTCGTGGGCATAAACTTTCGTTGTTTTATCATCAAAAATAATTTTGTGTGCATTTAATTTCGTTGTTTTTAAACTAACCCTATTTGATATATAGTCAGATAAAATTTCGTGTGGGATTTAATTTAGTTGAATTTTGTTAACAACGAAATAAACGAAATTTAATCCCCCACGAATTTTTGTGCTTTTACAGTAATAATTTGATCTGATGAACGTTTCGTTTTTAAACTTATTATGAAGATTGCTTTGCGTGGTTATCAAAGGCCACAATTACCTTCATTGGTCAAAAATACACTATGATGTAAAAAAATAAAATTAAACAAATTTTAAATTATGAATTCAATTGCAGAATATAATTATCTCCCTTGGAGTAAAGTTCCATTGAAATGAGGTGGTATCGGCATCGAAAAGCAGCGCACTTATTTCTACTTGGATTCGTCTTCCTTCTTTGGATGGGATTCAGATCCTTAATTCTTGACAGAGATTTGGAACGTGATTTCAAATTTGTAAGGAACTTCATAACAAAAAATGTTTCAGCAATAAGTAACTCTTTACAGCAAATCCTACCAACTCCCTTGTCAGGAACAATTATGCTCACTTCAAAAATCTGGAAGCATTTGAAGAAGCCTCATACAAACAGTCCTTTTCCAGAACCAGTAGACAAACATTACTCTCAAGCCGGTCAAGATCATGCTGTGTATAACATATTTCCAAAGAAAAACGGGGTTTTCATCGAAATGGGGGCTTACAATGGTAAAATCCATTCCAACACTTTGTGGTTGGAGAGAAAACATAATTGGACAGGATTGCTGATAGAAGGAAACCCAGTATCATGTCCCAACATTGACCGCGTCCAACGTAACGCCTGGTGTCTCTGCGCATGCGTGTCTCGTGAAAATGAAACAACGTTTATAGAAGCAGATGAACTAGGGGGTTCTGAAAAAGACATGGTGGACAGTCATGTCATTGAATTGAAAGGGTACAAAAGGACCAAAGTACCTTGTTTTCAATTAATTGACGTATTACAATTAATCGGTGTTTTCCACATTAATTACTTTTCGTTGGATGTAGAAGGCGGAGAAATGGCGGTGCTGAACAGCATGAAAGAGCAGTTGATTTCTAAACAAA